TCATCATCTTAAAACCAGCAAAAATCAATCAAACCACAATGCAATAAAATCAACTTACCATAAACTTAACTTCAATTATGCAATCAGTCTATCGACCCGAATGGTGACCAACGAATCGAGCAATTATACGTTCTCGAGCATAAACCATCAGCAATTCAAAAACACTGAACCATTTCAGAAGTTGAAATTTCGGCTTTGCGATCTGCTTTGAATTATTGCAATATATCTCCGTCGTCGTGGTTAACAGAGCTGTTGAACTTCGCTCAAATGAAGAGGGAAGATTTCAGCCCTCTGAAAGTGCACAGTTTCTAAACTTTCTCTTCAAAACTTTGAGTTTCTCTTCAAACAGCATACAAACAAGCGAAATTCCGTCATCTGTTAGAGATGCGAAATTTCGTTTTGGTGAAGATGAATGATCAAATTTCAATTTCGATAGTCGTAAGCAGGGCGATTGGAAACGTATGGAAGAAGAAAGTGTTTCAATGAACAAATTCGTGAAGAGATATTATTCCTTAACGAATGCACATATTTATACAATGAAAAAATAAAAATTCCTCTCACAATAAAACAAACAGTGCAATCAATTTCTACCACAATGAACGATCACAGGTTGTTGAGAGGCTGAAAGGAATTAAGCAACTTTATGTCTGATGTAATAAAACAAAGCGTTTCGACAACAAACAATTCAATTCAGTACAACAACAAATTCAAATAATATGCTCAAAAAGACACCGTAATAAGCAACAAACGAAGAGATAATTTTGCAGCTAAACGTTTCAGAAAACATTAACAGAAAACTTCTAAACATTTGAAGATGGATCACGTCAAAAAATGACTGAAATGAGGGAGAACACAGATTTCAATGTATAGATAAGCAAGTGTACAACCCGCTAGAAGAAGAACAATGAAAAACAATCTCAGAACATACTCTGAATGACTGAACGAAATTATCACAAAAAAATCATTTAAATACCAAAATATCACGAAAAATCTTTTGATAAAAACAAAATTATTGACTAAACACTAAAGATACTTCAATATCTTATAAAACAATGTTCAATATTCGAAACGACTTAAAAACAATAAACAGATGAATCAATTCGGCAAAAATTTATCGTTTTGTCGTTCTCCGATGTACAATTGTTGAGAATGACCCAGATCCAGACGACTGTAAATCAAACGAACTACTCATTGGGGTCGTCTCACGAGAACTTCGATCACACTTTATCACTTCCAATCTCGACGCCAAAGCGCTCTTCAGACCATTCCACTTAGAGTCAGCATTCCATCCACTCAATACTTCGTCCAGATATTTTTCTTCATCCGACAGCTAGAAATTAGCATTTCATTGACCAACATTATGCATGGTTATTTATTAGTTGCTCATGTTTACCAATTTCATTAANAAAGAAAAACAACACAACTAACCGGCAATGTTCCTAACATATCAATGACGCCATCAATATCATCATTCAACAATCTACAAATCATCCGACAACGCTGTCCACTCTTAATATCTCGTGAGGATTTTAGCATTGATCGGCATAGCTGTTCACATATTTCACTGCCGTTCTGAACAGAAATTCAATTTGTGCAATGGAACGAATTCATGAATAATCACTGAAATTTCGATACCACTATTATTGTTATTCCCAATAGCTTACAGGTAGTTTCCTTAGAGTGTCCGCAAGATGCTCTGCGTCATTTTCACCATGCAAATGTGGCATCATTATTGGCACTACAACGTCCGGATGTCCACTCAAAAGCTTCGCAAACTGTACATCTGAAATCTGATACTGTCAAACGAATAATTAAAACTTTATTCAACATAACATTATGTTATGTTCATCTTTACTTCGCTGATTAAACGTACCACTGCCTGACAATGAGACAAATTTCCATTTCTTAACAATAAAGCGACAATACCTCGGATAATCTCTGCAATCTGCTGCAGAGCCTGCATAGAATGCGCCTC